TAATATTTAGTGATGAAGAATTAAGGTGACTTAAAATGTAAAGTACTCTTACATTTTTAATAATTAAATCTCTGGGAACTATGAGAAAAAACAGCAGAAGTTGACAGTCATCACTTGCTCTGGCAATACTTCTGCCTCTCCTGTTTTTCTGTGGGGGAATTGGGGAATGCAGAAGAACAGTCAACACCTGAGAAACACTGCTGTTCCACCTGTTATGGAAAAGGTCCTTCAGGTAAAATAAATGTGAAGAATCATGGGCTGGGAGCCAGATGCAAGGTAGCAGAACAATTCCTCTGACTCATTCCATGCTTTCTCAATCATGTGGACAAAAGTCCACTTGTGGTTTGTCTGTCTCGTGTTACTCCCTGATTTTAACACGTGAAAGGACGGGCTCCCTGGGACTGGACAGGCACCCACGGAGACAGGGGCTGGAGGCATTTGCCTCCTTGCACGTGGCCAGAATTGAACCCATTACAGAATGGAGGATGTCATTTTGACTGGCGACATGCCTTTGGTCATGTGGGGGAAATAAGTCACATAAGGATTTCTTTTCCTTAGTGATTTATTGTCAGATCCAATCTAAACTTTCCCTGCCAAACCATGTTCATCACATCTCTACCTATTAGGCAATAAGGAGTAAAGGCATATCCACTGAACACCACAAAGAAGACAAGTAGCTAATTCAAATTCACTCTTGCCAACCAGCATGCTCCAAATTTGCCAGCTTGAAGGGCTGGATCCTACTTTGTGGATCTTTCTTCTTGTCAGAGTCTATGAATAAGCAGCAAGTTGCTAATGCCAGCTCTAAGTCCTCCTTCCGCATGGATGTGACAGCTCAACAGTTGTGCTTGGGTCACAGGAACAAAATGTGCCATGCAGGAAAGGTCAGGGGTAAATCATAGCAAAGTGTATCCCCTTCAGTGCATGACACTCCTGCTTCTTGGTTAGAACAACATTAGGGGGTTTGAAATACTGGAGCTATAAAACTAGATTTGGGTTAATGTTATGGTTTTCCAAAGGGTCTGCACCGTCAAACTGAGCTAAGAGTAGAGGAGAGAAGGGCACCCATCAGTGCATGCAGCCCGCGTCAGCTTTGCTGTACAAGAGCATTTCTTGCAGTGGGCCAAGCAGGAGTGTGTGGGCTCCAGCCCCGGGATCACTCGGGATCTCCCCGTGGGCTGTGTGTGTCTGGCAGAGCCGCGCAGCCCCGGTCACTCTGCAGACCCGCGGCCTCAACGGGCTGCACGCCCTGCTAGCAGGGGAAAGTATTGTAAGGCCTGGAAACGCTCTAGAGTTTAAATGCTGCAAGAAGAGCTGCAGCGTATCACACTGACGAACAGCAAGGGGTTTGCTTTAGAAGCTCCTTTATAAAATCCGCTGAAGGTGCCGCGGGGGCCATGGAGGAGAGGAGGGACCCTGGGGCACGGCCGGACTCGAGGGGCGCGGGGGGCTCGTTCCCCGGGCTCTGCTGCCACCTAATGGTGTCCCCCAGCCCCGAGCCGTGCCGCACCGCGCCAGCAGCGCTTCCCTTTTCCCCTTTCCAGCTGACAAACGGGCTGACGGCTATCTCCGAGAACAAAGGGCAGGTTTATCCCAGCAGCAAGGTGAATTTTCCTGCATTCTGTACCTCGCTGTAAAACCACCTAAGGTTCACAAATGGAAAAGATTTTTAAAGCACCTTCTAAATTACTGATAGAGCTTTAGGCAGGTCAAAAGGCAGACCAGCTCCTGGGCAGTGTGAATGAGCAGGATATCACTGGCACTCAAGTGTCCCCACCTCTGGGAGGGACAAATTGACTTCTCCACAGGAATCAGTAAAACCCACACTGGACCTTGTCACTTTTCATCTGCAATATCCCCTTCTCATCAAAGAGATCATTGATGAGTTAACTGTGAAATTAAACACAGTGCAAGGGCAAGATAACTCACATAAGGTTTACAAGCTTATCCTTCACTAAATAGGGGGTTTAAAAGCAAATGCTGAAAAACTACAAGAAATATGTTGCTTTAAGTAAGCATGTATCACAAGAAAGCCATCTCCAACATCCGTGTTTGCAAAAACCAAACATGGAACACTTTTGTATCTCAAACCAAATATTGAGATAGCTACAAAAACCAACAATGCTTCAACAACAATGCTTTTCGGAGCTGTGGGGACAGGAAATCTTCCACTGGTCTAAACAAATAAGCATAATAAATAATGCTATTTAAATACTTGAATGTTCACTTATTTTAAAATACTCCACATATCATTTAGCTGTGAGCCACCCTTTATACCATTCCTTTGGAAGATCCTTTGGCATTGTTACCATCTGATATGCTAAATGTTTACTGATGATGCGTGGATGGAGTAACAAATCCCATTGCTACTGAGTTTTGCTCCTGCTGCTCTTGGTTAATGCGTCATTTCACATCTTGAGGTCACACTTCCACTTTTACTCTTTTCTGAGGGTTGGGTTGCAAGCTTTGGAACACAGACCAGTGGACCACTGCCTCATGGTATGTACCTTTCATTAGGGTACACAGCATGTAAATAATTGCTACTTGGCATCCAAGTGACCTCTGTTGAAACAGGATGATGCTTCTAAATGTTACATTTTGGACCTCTTTGGAAGTCTCTTCCTAGTAGGCTGGTGTGTTGCCTCTAAAAATAATTTCCTTTTTATATTACACTTTGAAGTAGAATTTGGTAGGTATGACTTTTCAAAATCCAAGTCTTCAATGGCTGCTTGAGTCTCTGAGCTATCTGGCTACAGAAACCACATTTAATATCTACACAGGCAGCACAAGTGGAGGCTCCCAGCCAACAGCAAAATACTTCTTCCAAATTGTTTGACTAAAGTGAAATTTCTTGGATAAAGTACTGACACATGATTAAGGGGAATTTATCTCCAGGTCTATCAGCCAATACAATGACACAGGTTTATTTGTCAAGACCATCCCTTTTTTCCTCCATTGCTCATGATTTTGCTGCAAAATCTCACTTCCTGATCTGCATTCTGCAAAAACTTCCTTGGCTCAATGCTCACCATGTCATCATTTGAAACTTCTACCACACCAGGGGGGACCTGCTCTTTTCTGCATCTGTCACCTCTCCCTCAAATCAACCATCCTCATCCAAGCCTCAAAAGCTGTAAGTCACTTGTCCAGTAAGAGGAGGAAGCTCTGCTTCAGGGTGCTCCTTAGGTCCATCAAAAGGGTCAGAGCCATGCTGAGCTAAGAACACTCCAAACGTTACAGCCCGTTGCCTTGGAGACTCTAGGGTTAAGGAACACTTGTCTGCTACTGATTCCTGTGTCTCAGTGGCCTCGTGTGAAAGAAGCCAAGACCTAATTGCCTTGAAAGTGATCTCGTGTCACTACCTGGCTCTTTCTTCCAGTTGCTGGGCAGTAGAAGCAGTTCAGTGTCCTTGTGCTGCTTTGCCTCCTGCCACATTTCCAGAGAGCTTCCCTAACTCCAGGGCAGTTCTTATTTTGAAGAATACTCCAAAGTCTAGGGACTTTAGATCTCTCTAGGGGTGATTGTCCCAAACCATCACAACTGCTCAGGATTTTTTCCAGAGAAAAATGGTCTTTTTCACTGTGATATTCAGAGTTTCTAGCATCATGGGACCCTGTCTCTGATTCAGGCTGATAGAAGCTAATGAAGCATGAATAGAAAGGAGCATAAAGTTCATGGTATTACTGTTGTAATACTTTGTGCATTCCCCTCTCCATCTCTAGACCAGTTTCCAGCATCAAAGGGGACTTAATGCATTTAGTTTTTTATTAAGAAATATTACATCCAAGGGGAAAGGCATCTGTAAAGGACAGAATCACTTTAATAACATTCATGACACACAAAATACAGGAGGAAGACAATGTGTTTATAATTCTACAATAGAAACTTACTAGACAGAACAAATACCAGATGACAATCATCATACACAATTAATTGCTTTAAAATGCTTGCCATTAGAGATCTAAGAGACTGAAAAGACAAGAAAATCTACATAAAAACTTTAAATTGTTGGCCAGGAACAAAGGATGGAATATCGTCAGCAGAATAATAAATTATGTCTTTTTTTTTTTTTTTTTTACCATTTTAGATTTAACAATTCCAATGGAGAAGCATATAAATATTTAAGGCATTAATTATTTTTTAATCTTATCTTTTTACTTTTTCCTTGCTTCTAGAGATTAATTTTGCCCTTGTGGATTACAGGTCCCTTTGATGTATTTTCAAGGTATTAGAACCCATTTGAAATCTGAATTCTGTCTATATTCTGGAAATCATCATATCCAAGGAATCCTGAATGTCTGAAGTGTCCAGCTGGACCAGAACTAAGGCCCACCTATGCCACCCTTCTCTCACTGTCCATGGCAGGGGAGGATGGTTTATTTAGGGACCACCATGCAAACCAACAAGGATGGTTTATTTAGGGACCACCATGCAAGCCTCGTGAGGTGCAAGTGTCACCTCACGTTTCCAGGTACCCATAATTATAACCAGGCATCGATTGGAGATGTTAGATGATTATTCCATGCCTATTCTCTTTTTTAATTCATGTATAGACCTGTTACCCAGTTTGACTAGTTTCTTTTTGAACCTGCTGACTGTTGCCTTTACTACAGCCTGTGGTAGGGAGTTCCAAACATCAATTACCTGCTGTGGGAAAAGGCCCTGTCTTTGGGCAGTTTGTAATGCCTGATCAGTCTCTGTGTGTGTACCTTCATTCCAGTCTGACAAATAACAGCCTCATATTCATCTCAGCCCCTGCCTTTATGATTTCATAAGCCTTTAACATATTTTCTCAGCCTCCTCCCCTGCAGGTGGAAGAGCCTCAGCCACTTTAATCTCTCTTAGTACATCACTGTTGCACTCTCCTGATCACCACCTCTGCCCTTCTCTTTACCTTCCCTGGCTCTGTTGTGCTGTTTTTGGTGTAGTGATGTCTCCCACTCGTAAGGCACAATGTGGGGGTACCAAGGTTTCTTACAGCAATCAAATTATTCTTATTCTTTCCTCTTCCCTTCAGTTTTCGTGAGGGTTTTTTTTTCTTTCAGATGGCCATTTCATAACAGTAAAGTAGCTAGGAGAATTTTTTCTAAAGTTTTCAACATTCAGGTTCTTGTGGCTCACTTGTTCACAAAGTCTGTTTGCACATTTTATTTTTTAGAAGTGGAACAGTTATGCTGCTTTAAAAAGTGGAAATGTGATAGAAAGTTATATTTGGCAGAGGGCAGGAATAAGTATAGTGTCCAATCTTTTGAAGATGTTACAGAATAAACAGTAAAACCTGCATTCTGGACACTCTTAAGTGTCAAGTAAAATAATGGATGCAACCTAGAAACCACACCAAAAGGCAAGTTTAAAAATGCAGAACCATCTTCCAAACTATGTAACAAATGGCCTGGATTTTGCTGCTGACAGAAGAGTATGAGGTATAATTGATTATATTCTGTCTGAAAATAAATTCCTGCTGCTTCTCCAGGACTGTACAACAGCGTGTCCTGACTTAGGAAGTGGCACCCAGGTGAGATCCAGGACTGCAGTCCTTGGTCATGCACAAGATGCACAGGAGTGTTGGCACCATCAGATCTGCTCTGGATCCAGCCTAGCCCAGGCACTGGAAGAATCCAGGGCACTGGCAGCAGGTGTGTGAGATGTGCCCAGCTCTGTGTAAACTTCTCAAACACTGCTGTAATAAATTATTTCAACATTAAGTGTCAATTTGTGAGGACAGCTACACTCAACACCAACTAAGAGCTGGCTGGGCTGTTGTGAGTTATATTGGGGGTGGTATTTTTGTCTTGTTAAAGGAAATGTGGATTATCTTATAATTATCCCAGGTACTTCTGACACTCTCTTACAAGCTGTAAATTAATGGATTAAAATTACAGATAGTAATTTCAGAATTCCCTGTGGTGCTTCTAATACTCTCTGGTGTTTAATGGCTCTGTGTCTCAATGCAGGTATAGAAGAGGGACAGAATAATTCCATTTTGGGGAAAAATCTTTAGAGAACATGCAAAGACATATGGTAGTCTTGAAAAACTGTGCAGTCAAATAAAGATGAGCTGAAAATATAAATAGAGTTTTAGCAAATAAAGAAATCAAGACACTATCTGGAGCAGCTTGTTTTTCATATTTGTAGACATCTGGATAATCAGTTGTAAGAACTCTTCTTCCAAGTTATCATGGTATAAGATTTAGATACCTCTACATTTCACAATCATAGAATCTGATCTAGTACTTTTATCAGATGTCAGCATTTTTAAATCTTCATCACCAGCATCCCACTTCAGCAGCACATCAAGAATCCTCAGAGAGCCTCTGCAGCTTCTGGTTTCTCACAGCCTGTCCCTGCCTGGCACATGTGTAACTTCACCCCGTCAGCACAGGCTCTCTTTGCATCTCTCCACTACTTCCCCACGAGAGTCTGCCTCTTTTAGCTTCCTCTGAGTCCATTTTCCTGGAGTAAAATGAATGCAAAAATCTTTACGTAACCAACAGAATAAAGTTATCATGATCATCAAATATGTTTAAAAACAATTTACAAACTATTTAATAATATGCATATGAAGTAGGTGAGGATTAAAGTGCTTCCTATGTGTGCAGTATAGCTTATTTCATTAACAAATTTTGATTGACTTTTGTAGCAATAATTGATATTGATTGATTAGCAAATAGCTCATTCAAGAACTAATTTTAAGATTATAATCCTGTGCTTCATAATTAAAAACTTCTGTTGCATTTTTACAAGTTTTTGAACGCCCGTTGTAATAGCTACAACATTTCCTTTTTCAGGTTGTATGAGCATGTAAAGTTTATTTTTGAGCTTAGAACTTTGTTGGTGACTTGTTCTACAGAACAAGTGTTAGATGAAGTGAGGACATGAACCTACACAAGGGTGGGGGAAAGGGGAAGTGAGGCCACACATCCAGCAGTCCTGGAGTAATTCCTGAGTACAACGGAGAAGGTTTCAGGAAGCAAGTCAGGTACCTGAACACGGATGGCTGGTGGCATTTTAGATGTGATGTAGTAACTTACGTCCCACGTCCACGTAGTAACTTAAATCTGCCAGCGCTGTGTCTCGGATACGTGAGCACACCAGGATCAGAGCTGGGGAGCAGCTACAGCAGAAGCTCCACTCAGGGGCTAAAACGCACAGGGCAGACGGCAGGCCGGGCTGCAGGTGACCGCGGGCGCTCTGCTCTCCGCGCTCCCGCAGAGCCCGCGGCAGGGCGCCGGCAGCGGGCTGAGAGGAGAGCGGAGCGCAGGGCGCTCCGTGCCCTGCCGCCTCCTCGAAAAGCGCCCTTCCCCCTCCCTTCAGAGTGCTTGAAGAAACTAAGAACTAAAGCTTATGAAGGGCTCTGAAGAGGAGGTGGGCTTGTTTGAGAAAGCCTGTCACTACAGGTGGCTGTCTCTTCCCCTCCGAGGAAGGCGGTACTGAATTTGGGGGATGCACAGTCAACACTTTTAAATCAGTGACTGGCGACTGACAAGGCACCACCGAGACCTCGGGGCGGCGGGGTCCGAGCCGGGCCGGGCCGAGCCGAGCCGAGCCGGGCCGAGCCGGGCCGAGCCGAGCCGAGCCGAGCCGAGCCGAGCCCGCCCCGCCCCGGCCCGCCCCAGGAAGCGCAGGGTTTAGCGGGCGGCCCGCGCCGCGATGCATTGTGGGGCGCAGCAGCAGAGCCAAGATGGCGGCCAGCAGGAGGCTGATGAAGGTAACAGCGCCGGGCAGGGCCGCCGGGCGGGCGGCCCCGGCTCCCGCGGCCGCCCCTCCGCCCCGGCCCCCTCCGGCGGCGCGGGGCCGCCTCCCCCGCCGCGCCCCGGCGGGGCGGCCTCCTCCGCGGCCCTCGGCGGCGCCCCGCGCCCGAGCGGCCGGAGCGGGAGCAGCCGGCAGTCGGGCCGCGGCCGTGAGGGGCCGCGCCGCCCCCCCGGCGCCGCCGCCCCGCGCCCCGGCTGCGCCCCGCGGTCCCGGCCGCCGCCCGGGGCTGGGCGGCGGCGCCGGGCGAGCGCCACGGGCCGCCCCGAGCCCCTCGCTCGGGGGGCTCCAGGGTGACTAAGCAAAGAGGAAGGGACGGGGGGAAGGAAACGCCGCCGCCCGGGGCCGGGGCATCCCCGGGGCGGCGGGAGGGCTCGGCGGCCCTGCCGGGGGAGGGCTCGCGGGGAAGCGCCCTCTCCTCCCTCCCTCCCTGCGGGGGAAGGTTCGCCGCTCCCCCGCGCTCGCCCCGGTGAGGAACCGTCCCCAGGCGCCCGGGATGAAATAATTTCGTTGTTTCGGAGAGTAACCTCTTCCTTGTATGAGTAAGAGGTTTATCGCACAGAAACATGGACCTGGGTTCAGAAGTTTCTTCATTCGCTGCGGACGTGGTAATGTTTTTGTCTTCACTCTTATTTGTTCTGAACCGTGGATGATACTTGGAAATGGAAACTGGGCCCCAGCTGGGCTTTAACCAAGAGCACCTACAGTTTATGGTTAAATACCGCTCGGGATTATGTTTCTCGTTATTTTCTTTGAGGAGGAAGCTACTTCTTAGGAGGAAAATAGTAACCATTGTCCCCAAAAAACAAATTTATTTTATGTGCTGTATATAATTGCCAATTAACATTATAAACTGTAAGCAGCAAGGTTTGCCTAGGACACACTACATAGTGGCATAAAATTTGTTCATCTGTAAAATGCTGTGGCAGAACCCAAATATGCATGCAAAGTGCCTGTGAGGAAATCAATGGACTTTGCAGGCCAGTCCTGGGAAATGGAGGGGAAAGACCCCATGACTATTGAGCACTGTTTCAGCCTTATTTTAAAAACTTCCCCTGTGTGGTACAGAATAACCCTGCACTGGGAATTAACAGATACTTGGGTGATTCTGTTAAACTTAATCCTTTAATACCAGTTTTACAGCTGGCTTCAAGGACGTGGACCCCCAGTAGGGCTGGGATTTCACCAGGACATGTTCATGGCCTGTCCTGAAGTTGCATTTCCTTGATGGTGCAGATATATGAATGACCATTATAACCTGGGTATTTTGTAGGAAACCAATAGCTCAGCAGTGCTTCTATAAGACTCATTTTGTTGGTTTAAATATTCTATGGAGCAATTAAATAGTAGATGGATTGTATGCAGTGTCATTCATATATATTAAAAATCAGTAGGCATAAACCTTTAATTGTCCTTAAGGATCCTGGTGACATGGAATTCATTTTCTATTTCATTTTTGATAGCTCTATATTTTCTCAAGGTTTTAGTATCATAATGACCATGTTTGTTGCTTTATACTCAAATAAGGTTTGCCTTAGTTTCAGATGTAAAATTAAATGGTTGTTTACTGGTTTTGTAAGGCAATTTTTTTGTTGCCTGTTTTGAAATAATACATTAATTGTTCAAAAACACATCACTACTACTCTGGTAGGAATAGTCTTTTTTTTCATTAATTTAAAATAGAAAATAAAAATCTGAAAGGCAAGAAAAATTTTTCTTAATATCTTCGGTGCCTCTTGCTTTTTAGCCCCCCCTCCTCATTTTTACTATACTTCTGAAACATTAGTTAGCACCTCAGTCTTTCACTGAAATACACTAAAAAGGAGTTTTGCTAATGACTTTATTTTCTAGAAAATTGGCGTGGCAGTTGTTTCTCGGAGGGAGTGGTGTGGGAATGAAGGAGGCATTGATAACTTCCCTCTTATATTTTCACTTTTGTTTCTGTTGCCTGATGTCTGTGGTTGTTCACGTTTGTGTGTGTTTTCTGCAGTCCAGGAGCCGTGGGCTGCTGTGTCCCCCAGCTTGCAGAGCTGTTAAATCAGCAGCTCCCTGCCTGCTCTGGGGAGGGGAGGCAGCCCAAAGGGCTCTGCTTGCCATTCATCTCGGCAGGAACAAAGTAGAGCTCTCGTAGGGGTGATGTCATCGGCATTGCTGCAGCATGATGTGAAGGTCCAGGCTCACGTGTGTATCAACCTCATAGCACTGTTAAAGTCCCAGATTCACGGGTCCGTTTTGATTTAAAGTCTTTCATTGTTGAAGTTTTGCAATTGGGAAGAGTCTTTGGGGTGTCTTTGGCAGGGTCTTGGAAGGATGAGTGATTGTAACTAAAGGAAGTAGGGTTTTCACTGTGTCAGTCAATTATCTTTAAAATAATTGGGGACAAGCATTAACTGTCTTTTCTTTGAGCTAAATAATCAAGCTTGTCTTTGATAAATAAGACTAAACCATAAACCTTTAAAAGTTATATAAAATTAAGCAGTTCCTGTTTCCTTAAGGTCTTGCCAACATTTTGAAGTACTGCGTTTTTTCTGGACTCAAGTCATGCATCATAGTTATTTGTATTAATCACCATGGCTCAAAGAGACTGGATGCAGTAGATCCAGGATAACTCACTGTCTGCCTGTAGAAAACTTGGAGTCGTGTCCACTGTGCAGGTGGGAATGGATGCCCTTTTCCAGTGAGGGAAGCCATTTGCCTCTTCACTCCACAAACCTCTGTGTAAAACAAGCGTTACAAATTTTGCCAATGTGTTTGTGCCATTCAATTTTAAACATGAATTCAAGTCATAAAGACGGCAAGACTGGCTTGTCATCTGAGAGTGTGTTTGAGCAAATCACCTTCCCTAGGCCAAAGCCCTTGTTTATGGCCCCTTTTTGCTGGGCTTTATCCCATCAAGTAGTGCCACCTAACCAAAGTCTTCTCCCCTGATTCACAGCAGCTCGGTGGAGGTGTGCCCTTCCAGGAGTGCACTTAGCGTAGCAAAAGCGTGAAATAAACGTAGCTAGTGACTCAGATTCCAGTGACATCTGAGGTGCAGGTTTGATCCCTGAGCCACCATTACACCCCTTCAAAGAGCCCCAGTCGTTGAATCCTGACTCCTTGTGAAATGTGAACGGTGGGAATGAAGCAGTCTTTGTCAAGGATGTGATGTTGTGGACAGTCTCTCAAGGTTAGAACATACAAATATGGAGTGATTCTATTTAGGAGAGGATCTAAGGCTTCTCTTTGAAGGGGGTGCTGGGCTTTATGGCCCTTTCTCATAGAAGGTAGATTGTCTCCAGGCTGTATGATGGGGAACACGGATCTCTTGGAGACTTCAAGGAAAGGCTCTGCACAGCTGCCCCCTGCTAAGGTTAAAGCAGCTGCTCCTCGTGCTGGATCTGTGGCCGAGTGCTGCGGGGGGATGCAGAGGGAAGGCTGCCCTGGTGCTGGACACTCGCAGTACCTGCAGGAGTAGCAGTGCCTGGTGCTGAGCTGCACCTCCCTCAGGGTGTCTGGGTGCTCCTGGGGAAGGCTGTGCTGCCCCAGGTGTGCAGCTGGGTGGGCCCTTCCATGGTGACTGCCTGGGATGGAGCTCAGGTGCCTGTAAGATCCACGCTTTGGTTTCCTGGTTTTTAGATGTTCAAAAGTATCTTTAGCAATAGGAAATGAAAATGGATTTAAAGAGTAAATAACACTTCGCATAGGAAGTGAGATGTGTTGACAATTATTTTAATTTTATTGTTTTTACTCTGCTTCCATAGTTGCATAGTCAAACATTTATGCAACTGTTGAGCTCCTCCATGATAAAACACAAACATGGGATCACACCCAGGTAGGTGGCCTGCAATTTCCAGGATGCTGTGGTCCTGTAAACACTGTAGTGCTTTCAAACAAAGGGGTTTTAAACAACTCTGATACTTGAAAAATAATTCTGAATTGATCCAAACTTCAGATCTTAGTAACAATGCAAACATGGTTTTGAGCAACATATGATTGTCCTCAGGCAGAAGTGAAAATATGATGCATTTTCCCTTTTTGAAACTGAGAATTGACAAAAGGATATTTAATTAAATTAAAATACTTTGCCAAAAAGTAAATTGCTCAGTCAATAAGATGTGAGTATACAGGGTTGTAATGTTGCAAAGGAAACTTACTGCTGATTCTTAAAAGAACTAAATTCTATTTCTGTTTTTGGTTGGATTTTTCTTTTGTGTGGTAGAATCAGATTTTAAGGTGTTTTATTAAGACTTCTCTGTACTGTAAATCCAGAAAGTGAAACTGGCCAGTTCCTGTTCAGTGTTTTGGAGCCTGACTTACGGGCATTTTTTAGAGAATGTATTCATAAACAGATAAATATAAGTTGTAATAATGATTTAGGGTTATTTCAGGAGGCTTTTTGTTTTATTTGTGAATTTAATAGTGTTCTGGGCTTGATGCGGAACCCTGAAGTAGGTATGAGCTCCTATACTTATTTCTGTATTCTGGAACTGCACTCTTACACGGATTTGCCTTCATTGCATTTTCCTATCTGGCTTGGGTTTTCAGAGAAGTCCCAGAACTTGAAAGATGTGTGGACAAAACAGTTACAGGTTTTTTAAAAGATTTAGCTACATTTTAAGCTGGTGCTTGCTGCTTTTCTTTCTACTTTAAAACACTTAATTTTTGATTTGAACAGCCCAAATGATTATACAGTATTGAAAATGACAATTTTAAACCTTTAGTGATTATATATGAGAAGTAGTGTGTACTTTTATGACTACCTTCAGCATCATATGCTTGAAGATGAGGTACCACCTCTGAAACTGTGTTTTCTCCACTTCATGT